TTAAAGGATAGTCTTAGCTAGCGCTTAGATAGGAATAATTAAACCTATACTATTAGGTTGTAAGGTAGCTGTAGCTGTTGTAATATAGCAAGTAGCTAGTTTAGAGCGACGTGGTCAAAGGCACCTTTAATATCTAGGAATACTATAGAGGTTGTGCGTTTTAGTTTTCTTTGCTCTTAGACCTAGTTTAGCAGCAGTATAGATGCGTCTATTGTAGATTTTTGTGCTCTTCCTCCTAGTTATAAGGGGTGAAGAAGAGCTGTTGTTTCTGTAAGACTTCTAAGGCGTTTTGCTACTACTCTTTCTGCAACCTTGCCTAGGCAGCTAAGCAAGGCAATTACTCTATAGGCTTTAGGTGCAGCGTAATTAGGCTTGTTTAGCTTTTTTAGGATAATTCCTGTTGCTTTCTTCTATTTCTGTAGGTAGTAGCTGTAGTTAAGCAGAGTAGAGAAAACAAAGAAGAATGTTTCTGTCTGTGCTTTATATGCTGTAGTAATAATCTCCTGTGTTAGGGCGTCTAGTCCTGTAGAGCTGCTTTGGATTTGTGCTGAGCAAGCGTATTCTAGCTCTTCTATAGTAAGATTAGGCCATTCCTAGTTGCTTGGTTGGTAGTTGTCCTACTCTATAGGCCTAGAAGCAGGAGGGCTAGGGAAGAGAGTTTCTCTTAGAGCTAAGCATTTGCCTTGAAAAGATTCCTCTATTCCTCTTAGGCCTTAGATAGCAGGTATGTTCTAGCTATAAGTAGTTCTAGTATAAGCTATAGCTTTAAAGATTAATTTAGGGTCCTCTCTCTCTAGGAATTGGTTCTAATAGTCTTGTTTAGCTATTTTGACAGCTTGTAGATAGCTGTTTCTAGCTATTAGATATTCTCTTTTCCAGGTGTAGGCACTTGTTAGGCTAATAGCAAGTTCTCTCTGTAGTTGGCGTTGTTTGCTAAGCATGCTTGTCCTAAGTGCTTTTAGGTCTTGATTCCACCAGGGCTTGCTTTTTGCAGTGGTAGAACATTGCGGAATTGCTGCCTTAGCTGCTTTAGTTATAGCTGTAGTGAGCTCTTTGGCTAGTGTTTCTAGCTGCTCTTCTAGGTCCTGGTCCTCTCCTTAGATAAGTGCTTAAGATCTGCTTGTGGAGTAGTTTAGAGTTCTTGCGTTGCTAAGAGCAGAGCTGTTTGCTATCTCCTTTGCTAGAACTTTGCTAAATAGGTTCTAGTTTGCTTTCTTTGTGTTAAACCTAGGAGCAGGTTTGTTAAGTTGCTGTGTTTAAGGTGTCCTTATTGTAAATAAGATGCCTAGGTAGTTAGAGCTAAGTCTACCTAGCGTTTGCTAGTCTTCTATAAGGTTTGCTATCTGTATTGTAGCAAAGGTTAGGTCTAGGACACTCTCTCTATTTATATTAGGCTAAAAGAAAGTGCCTGTACTAGGGCTATTCAGTAGCTCTAGGTCTTGTTCTTCTAGCCAAGTAATAAAACTAGCTGCTCTTAGTGTTATAGTAGCTACTATAGGGTCCCACCATAGGTGGTTAATATTAAAGTCGCTAAGCAGGATGGCGGAGGGCAAGATAGAGGTTCTAAGGAGCTTTCTCTCTATTATAGTAATGCCTTATGTGTCTAGCTAGTTGTAGACATTTTAAATAGATAAGGTTGTTCTAGAGCTCTTAACTATAATAGCTAGGAAGTTAGGATTAGGACTAGTGTCTACTAATATAGTAACTTGCGCTTGTATAGAGCGTGCAGAGTAGACTAAAACACGTAGTCTTATGCTTTAGTCTTGTAACAAAGGAAGGATTTGTGTAAAGGAGGGGTGATTTATAGAGCGTGTGTCTAAGTAATCTAAAGGAGATTGTCTAGTAGGAATAAGGTAAGGCTCTTATACTAGTATAAGGTCTATTACTAGTTCTACTGCAAGTTGCAAGGCGCTCTCTATTGCTTGTACGCTCTTGTTTAGATTTACTTGTAGGATCTTTAGGTTGTCTAGCATTCTAGGTTTGTTTGCACGTTTAGTGTAGCTTTATAAGCTGCACATTGTGTGCTATCTGCAGTGTGTGCCTCTTTGCAGTTTATGCACATAGGTAGAGTGTGTGCACAGGTCTTGCCTCTAGCATTGCACGTGTTACACTTGTGGAGTGCTGTAGGGTGCTCCTTTGCACAGATTTTGCAGGTAGTGCTATAGAGGCACCTAGTCTCTGTGTAGCCGTAGCGCTGGCAGTTTTGGCATTATGTAGAAGGGGGTGTAGCAATAAATCTTTCTGCTTTAATGCTAGCTCTAAGCAGGTA